GAGAATTTTTTATAATTTATGGATCCGATGCAAATAAGTGTCGCTGCATATAAGATTGCATGTCTCCAAATATAAACATAGATCTTTCTTTTCATAAGTAATGATCTAGCTATCAATTAAAGCATTTTTATGAAAGATTATGCCAAGTCATTCGAGCATGAACATGAGCAACATGTTATTCAACTTTTGTTTTATATAGCCATACAATAACCATAAATGCTTTATAGGTAGATTTACCTATATTGTTAATACAAATTTTTGTAATGGCATAATTTAAAAATTATGCTCGTAGTCGAATAATTTAAGGAAAAAACCTAAAAAATATTAGGTTTCGGATTGATAATAATCATTTATGTAACCATCTTGTAAATGTATTTATTAAAATCATAAAATATCTAAATGGTCTATATGATGAGTGAATTGATCCGCATATATCATCATGAATATGTTTTAAAAATACTTGATATTCATTCTAAATTTTACTTAGTGATTGCTTAATAATTAGTTTGTCTTGAGAACACATAAAACATAAAAATTCATTAGATTGAAAAATATTCTAGCTCTTCAATAGATATTCATATGAATTTTCAATAATTCTTTTTAGCATGAAATACCTAGGATAGCCCAATTGGTTATATCACATAATAAAAGTATTTAAATTAGTAAACTTTTGGTTTACTATAACATTTTTTTCAATCATTCGAATGTTTGTAATAAAGATTAGAAGAAAAAATAGATAATTTTTTTGATACATGTTTTCTATCCGATGTAATAATTATAATATATAAGTATTTAATATTTTTCATATTTGTTATCTTGACATAACATCCATTTAGATGAATACTAGTTAGATACTCGCGCTACGTTGCGGTCAAATAACCGTTACACACGTAGGGTTAACTATTCATATGGTGTAGTGCGAATGAAAGTTTTATTTATGGTGATTAACATAAATCGAACATATATATTGAGTGAAATAGTTTGATTTATATATATTTATTAACATAATATTTAATAAGTTTAGCATAAAAATTTGTATTTGAATAATTAGGAGATTCTTTCGAACATTATCTAACTTATTTTATTTTTTAAAAAATAAATTTTACAATATAAAAAAATAAATAAATAATAATTGGTATTGTGTGTGTGTGTGTGTGTCATACTTAATAGATTTAAAGTATATATAATAAATAAATAAAAAATATACAAAAAAAAAAGTTAACCTAAATTTTATGAAATATATTGAAGTCAATAGATTAAAATAAAAACTACAAAAAAATTGGTTATGATAAATTCTGAATATATATATATATATATATATATATAAAGTAGAGTATATAGAATAAATAGAAAAATATATAAAAAAATCAACATAAATTGTATGAAATATATTAAAGTCAATAGATTAAAATAAAAAACAACAATAAAATTGGTTCTGCTAAATTTCAAATAAATATATATATAAAAAAATAAAAATTATGATTTTTAATTGATTATTAATTAAAAAAATTGAGCAAAACTATCTATAATATATTGTTAGCTATCTCTCTTCTTTTTTTATATTTATATAATCATAATTTATAAATTATAATATATTTTAAAAAATAAAACACTCATTTAAAAGGCTTAAAAATAATTTATCGTATAAATTAATATATATACATAATAAGAATTTATAAATTATAATAATATATTTTAAAAAATTAAACACCGATGTTTTAAAATTTTATTCAAAATTCATATATTAAAAAACAAAATTTATTAACAAAAGATTTTTTTAAATCAACTTTTAAAAACATTCAAGTTCAAAATCAAATAGATAGAATCTGTTAATTCAAACATGAAATTAATTTACAGCTATTTGGAATAAAATCAATATTATGATTCCAATAAAATCAAAATGTGGGTGGGTCTTAACATGAAAGAAGAAGGCCAAATGGACCAAATATTTAATATTGCAATTTAGCTGACCAACGAACGCTCTGCGCGTGTGTCTCTCCCTCCCTCCCCCTGTTTTTGTCTGCATCTATGTCCGTGGGATTTAAACCAGCGATGTATGGAGTAGACCTGGTTTGGATATACGCGAGGGTGGTAAAAGGACAAGGTTTGTATCTGATAGGGCATTGTATGCAGGTTTTTCCGTGGGACTGATATTGGTTTTGGTGGGCTAAAAATCATTGTTGATGGGCTTGATGGGGATTGATGTGTGGGTTATGTATGACGTTCTGTCGTCAATGGGATTTTGACGGGGGTAGGGGTCTGGGTTGGAGAGTAGAAGTCGTTAAAGAGCTTTCAACATTTGTCAGCAATGCAGTAGACCAAACCAGCGACTCTTATAGGCCGTTCAACCCATGAAGGAAAAAAAGATTACTACGGTTTTTGGTTTTTTTTGTAACCTTTGAAACTCATCAGTTTTTTATGAAATTTTAGAAAGAATAGTGGATCATTTATAATAAAATCTATCTTTTCAAGTAATAATATATTTTTTATTTTGAAATTTTTAAAATTTATCCCTTTCGAGTAATAATATATTTACTCTTTTAAAGTTTTTAAAATTTATTTCTTCGAGTAATAATATACTTCTTCTTCTAAAGCTTTCTAGTAGAATGATATCATTAGATAATATTAATACAAAGTAAATAATTCAATAAACACAAAATAAGAAAATAAATATTTAGCGAAATAAATTTGCAATATGAATTGTGTAAAAAATAAAAAATATCTTATTTATAAATAAAAAATTTAACAAGTTATTAATTTCAATTACCATCATTTTGACATATAAAATTTATCTCTATGTTTTACTCTCTCTTTTGTTTTTTCAATGAGACTTGATAAATATCAATGAGGTGCTTTGGCATAAGACAAGTACACGACGAATGTTCATTTATATCATGTCTATGACATTTATTTTTAAAATATTGACTTGATTCATTTTTATTTTGTTGTTATTTCTTTTTATAGTTTATCAATTTATGGTGATGAGGTGTATTATTGTGGTCTTTATGATAATAACTATAATTATTTTGATGATGACTATACCTATGTCCTCGTCTTCGTCCATGTTTAGTATTATTACAAGTTGCCACGTTTATTTCAATAAATAAAGTAGACCCTCTTGGGCGGGATCATGATTTTTCATCAATAACTCATTATTTTATTTAACCACAAGCAAACATGAAATAAATTAAGAATATTTATGAAAACCCTTTTTTCAATATTACTCGCTTCAAGATCATGTTCAAAATACGAAAAGCGAGATAATGTTTTTTTAGCATCAAGCACCAATGATCAATAATTGTTGTCCGAAATGTCAAAGGCCACAAAATCAAGCTTTGTGAAGTTTGATATGACAAAAAATCTATAATACAAAACGTAATAGTAATGTTAGTAAATAAGAACAAACATAATAATAAAATTTAAGATTTTCAAACAAAGGATGTTAGATCATTCAAGCTTTCAAACATATACTCTATGCATAATCAAATTTTAAATAAAAAATAAATTAGATACATACATTTCAATGACTTAGATAATTTAGATTTTTTGATAGAGTATTTGTGTAAAGAAACAATCTAATGATAAAAACAAATTATTGAGTTTTTTTTTTTATATATATAAATACATAACTTATAGTCTATTATTTCGATTGATCGGAGCTTACGTGCGATAACGTGTTATATATAAAAAAATGTAACAATGATAAAATTAAAGAGATATATAATAGAAAAATAAATTTATTGTGAAATAAAGTAAATACGAGTGATAACAATTATAATACAACTCTCTCAATCTCTATAAAAATAAACACACAACAAGTTAATGAACAATCAAATCTATTTATAAACTTTAAAATTAAGAAGAGATTATAAATAATTAAAGGTGTATAAATAATTGAATCAAATGAGCCACCTTATATTATCTATTTTTCAGACTTTGGATATAATCGATCCCTCTACTGGAAAAAAATATTTTATTAGATCACTTTACCAACATAATGTCGCGTGTGTATATATGTATCCTCTAGCTGTCCTTATATATCTGACTATGTTAGCATTTATGAATTGATAAACGATATCCCGATACATGTATTTGTATCATTTTTTTTTTTGGCAAAATATCAAAAAACTTTTGCCAAATAACAAAAAAAAATTAACATCCAATTTATAATTTCGAGGATGTATACTTTTTTTTTTTTAGAGAATGTCAAATTTTGTTTTCTTTATTTGACAAATATATTTGATATTTTGCAGAACATGAAATTCTGGTAAAGAAAAAAACGGGATTCAAGTCAACATGCGGTGAGATTATTCATCAATTATTTAGTTCGGAAATAATTAACACGGGGGACTTGATATTAAATTGAAAATTTGTTATAAGGATACAATGTATCATTAACAAAGGAGGAGTGAATAGTAAATTGAAAGTTTGTTATATAAAGATGCAATTTGTCGTTATATTGATAGAAAGAACTATTAAAAAATATCTTATCCATACCTTCTAAAAATTTATCTTATAAATTCATGCTATACGGGTTCATCTATTTATTTAATATCAATTAAAAATAAAATTTCAAAATATTTTATTCTAATCTTTATAATTATCAAAAATTTACTTGGATCCTCAAAATTATTATTTTTTACAGCTTTATCCTTTATTTTAAATGTTTTTGGTCCTCAAAAAGTTTTCATAGAAACATTTTGATTTTTATTTATGAAATTTATATAATTAGATCACTATATATATATATATTTTTTTTTAAAAAAAAATTAATAGGTATTAATAGAAAACAAAGCGAGTATCGATGTCGAAAAATCATTATGGCCAATATGTAATTTTTTGTCCGTGACAGAACAGACCCGTTTCGTACTCTTCTACATTGTAATCTCTACCACCGCTCCCTCACTCTCTCGCTTCCACTACAACCCCAACAAAACACCACCCCCCATCCCTCAACTCCGACCTTGCAATAGCCGAGCGATCTTTCAAGAACCGCAACCATGTTTCGCCGAGTCACCGTCGGACTCTTAGCGCGAACCACTGAGGCTCGACCCTTCTCCACCGATCTCCAAGCAGCACAAACCGTGGACTCAACATTTGTGGAGGCGTGGAAAAAAGTAGGACCAAACTTGGACCCACCAAAGACTCCACTTTCTTTCATGCGACCTCGGCTTCCTACTCCTTCTGCTATCCCTTCTAAGCTTTCTGTTAACTTCGTAATTCCTTATGCTTATGAGGTTTCTGGTAAAGAGGTGTGCTTTTTTTTTTTTCCTTTTTATGCATCAGGGGCTTAAAACTGCGTGCTTTTTGTTTAGTTGTTGGTAAATTTGATGCATTTTGGAATTCGTGGTTAAGTAACTTATGTGGATTGCTGCATTTTCGTTTTGGAAACTGCCCATTTCGTTGGTTGGTTGGGTTTTGATGTGCTCTGAAGCGTTTTTTTCTCTATTGCAGTGATCGAGTGAGTAGTGTTGATAAAATAAGAGGTGATTTTTTTTTTAGTTTTCTTATTTGGGCTTAATAATGTGTGCTTTTTTCTTGTTTTTTGATAAATTTGGTGAATTTGATGCATTTTGGAATTCGTGATTATGTAGAATCTGCATTTTTTGTTTTGGAAATTGCCCATTTTGTTGGTTGTTTGGATTTCGATTTAATTTGAAGCATTTTTAAAGTTGAAGTAATTGAGTCAATATTTTTTATACATTAACATAATTGGGGATTAGTGTTTGTTCTAGATTTTATATCAGTGCTCTGTGTGGGTGTAAAATACAGGAGGCTGAGATTTGTGTTGCTTTAGGGTCTTGTAATGTGTACATTTTGTTTCTTAGGTATCAATGGATTGCAATTCTTTCAGCATTGTGAATTTTTTGCCTTTGTTGATCAATGTTGATAATTTGTGGGTTGAAGATGGGACGTCGTATACCTGCAGCTTAGCTATACCCTATAATCAACTCTAACAAGATTTACTAGTGTTTCACGTCTTATTTGTGCTGATCATGTCTTACGGAAAGGAATGCCAATGATCCTGCTATTTATCATTTCTGGATAAGTGGAACTATGCCATAACTATTGGATTGAAACTGCTTCTGATGGGATCATTGCATGTAACTTTATAAGTTCAAGAAAAAGATGCACCACTGAGGTTCCATAGTTTTAAAGTTTGAAAACAAGTATTTCTTGTAGTCTGCCGTCTCATGATTCAGGAGACCTCCTTTGGTCTTGAAGACGGATTTTGTGATTGTTTGGACACGCTTGACGATTTGTCTTTAATGATAAGCTTTCAACAGTAGATCATTTTCATTCTTAAGGAACAGTATGATTGTCGATGGGTATCACTAGCTAGGTTATTGTGTTTCAATGAGCTCTGAAACAAACTAACGAAGGACTTGTTTGGATCAGTTGCTTAATTTTCCGATCTTACTGAAAGACTTACTTCATTTTCTCTGGTTTTGTGGCCAAGTATTGCAAGCACCTGAATCTAGGCTATGTGATGTACACTTCTGTGTTTGCTTTGATCTCAATTTTTAGTTTGTTTTGTCTGGAAGTACCAAAGATTGAAATGCAGCTATATCTCCTATTACATCTTCCTAGGATCTTCAACCTTTGTTTACAACCAAAACCAGTAAATTACTCGCACATTTCTATGACTGAACTTCGAACAAAATTCATGCTAGTACATTATCTGTGTAGAATTTTTTTGGCAATTTTTAATCATGTTACGGCTCTACCCATTGTCGTCACATGAATGTTTATGGTCAGTTACCACAATTTCCGTTGTCATTGAATATCAACTTATGTCTACCAAGCATAATGCACGCATTCCTATTCTTTTCTCTTCTTGTATCTCATAATTATGCTGCTGGAACCTCTTAACAGATAGTGGATTTTGTTGTACAAATTTCTTATTTGCTGTGAGTGAGCTTGCGATCCTTAGACCTTAATTTATCTCCTTGTCATTGTTGCCATCAATTCTTTGAGTCTACATCTTGCCATTTTCATTCTAGAAACTCACGGAACTCCTTTTCACACCTCTTTCATGATTTGTTTTATTCCAATTTGTACTATACGTAGACTGAAACGTGAGACTTTCAGAGAATTCAATTTGATAGAAAATTTCAATTCTTTGCACTTGTTTTTAAACAACCAAAATTATATCTTTGCATTCAAAGAGTGCTTGGGTTCTACTTTCTTTCCAAAATATTAACACTAAAACTGCAGCTTAAGTATGCTTGGATATCATTTCTCGTTGATGATAGAATGAGCTTACCCTACAGCTCTGAAAGACTTTGCCTTTTTCCAGTTTTTGGATTCTTTAAAATGCAGATGAAGATATGGTAATATGATGGCTGGTTTTGGTATTCAAAAAGCTGGACTCTGCCATACTCATATTGCAGTATTGGGTGGGGAAATACCTGTTTCAAACCCTAGCCTTGTCAAGAATTTCTTCTTTCTGTTGGTGGGGGAAAGAGCTGGTCACCTGATCCTTTGTTTGATATAGAATTTGAAATTTGAACTTGGTTCCGTGGGTAGGCACATAGCAGCAACTTTGTTAAGTAATTCTCTAGCTTTTGCCACCCCAACCACACACACTCAGAGGGAAGGGTGACAACTCCTTAGAGTTGCAAACCAAAAGAGCACTCAACTCCGCTGCATAGGAGTGTATCTTATCTGCATAGGAGAGCACCCAACATATTGTTTTTCCTATAGGCGCTCCTTTCTTTCTTTTTTGGCTAAGTTAGAGCATACAAAGGTATTGGTTGCCGAAAGAAGAAATTGATAATGGTGTTATTGTCTGAAAAGTTGGCTAGAAATTGAATGATGCCATGTCTTTTCATGTCTTGTCTGTTTGAGAATCCTGTTGAGTGCTCTGCCATAAGACTAGTTACAAATACCTAGAAAAACAAAACTGGTTTGTTGTGAAAAAATAAAAATAAAAATGGCCTGATTGTATGCTTACAAGGTGTAGATGCCAAAATGGGTATTTTTAAAAGCCTGAGCACGAGAGGATGAAAAACATTGATTGACTGTTTCATAAGCTGAAATCAGATAACTGATGGAACGTTTGTGGGCATCATGATCTTACTTTCCTTTATGTTTTTTTTTTCAGGTCGACATGGTAACAATTCCGGCATCAACTGGGCAGATGGGTGTTCTTCCAGGACATGTATCAACAATCACAGAGTTGAAACCTGGGGTACAATCAGTGCATGAAGGAAATGAAGTGACGAAGTATTTTGTTAGCAGTGGCTTTGCATTCATCCATGCCAACTCGATTGCTGATATAGTGGTGGCTGAGGCTGCGCCCCTTGATCAAATTGACTCCAGCCTAGTTCAGAAGGGTCTTGCAGAGTTCACCCAGAAGCTAAGCTCGGCCTCAACTGACTTGGAGAAAGCTGAAGCTCAAATCGGAGTTGATGTGCATAGTTCTCTCAATGCTGCTCTCACAGGCTAGTGTAGTGTTTGTTGTCCTTCAGTGTGCCCCTTGATTTAGTCATGCTGCATATTTCCGCATTTAAGTCTGCCTTATTCTCGTGCAAATTCATCACCTCAAGCTGAACATTACTTCTCAAACTTTTTATTTTCTACTTATTTGCTGAATGGGAAATTGGTGAATGATATATGAATTGATTTATCTGGTGCTCAAGGATTTGAGCAACGTTGTCATTGAAGCATTGGTTCAGTGGTAAATGATTCAATACTGAAGGCGTCGGAGTTGGAGTGTTTCACCCTATTTCTCCCTCCATATAAGCCCAGAACTTATAAAAGGTGGAGTTAAAGAGCCTCTTTGGCCTTGTTGTGCTTACAAGTCAAGCAGGTTTGGTAAGTTCATCGCTCTACCTCTTCATCTTCAGTGCATCTTTTTTTTTTTTTTTTCTCCCCTGAAGTATAAATAATGTTTAGCGAAGAACTTGCTTTTGAAAGAAGCAGGCATTTTATCCTGGGATAGTAGGTAACTTCTTCATGTGGTTCCTTCATGGGCGTTTTGTGGGCCTTGTATCTTCATGGGTTTGGATCATATCATGGGATGAAAGACGAGAAGTCACTAGTCTTCTTTTGTCCATGATGAAAGGGCGTTAATGATGCTTCCAGGCTCTTGTTAACTGGAGATTTTTAAATAGAAAAGCCGATGACCTTGAGAAAAGAGAAGCAAGAAATCACTGTCACATGGGCCACGGCATGGGATGGTGCTTTTTGCCCACCTATGAAAAGAAAATGCAAAAGCAAAGTGGCTTTCATTGCCTACTTTTTTTCGTGCCCATTTTTGACCATAGAGAATGACTCAAGCATATTGGCTTGGTATCCATCATTAGAGGAAACACTATTAAAAACAGAGGGAAAAAAATGGTAATTGGAGGAACTTATTTTAAAGTGTTGAATTTGCTTTCGAAAAGAAAGAAAGAAGAATTTAAAAATATATATATTTATTTTTTTAGGTAAATTACAGTAACTTGGATATCGTTTAGTTTTGAAATTATTGCAAAAATACTTTGTACACAAAATGTCCGTAATATTTAAAATTTTCCTCGTGTTAGAAAGGGTGTTAACGAGAGTGTGTTTAAAATATTAAGAACATTTTGGATACAAATAGAATTTTCTTTATGCTTTCTTAAATGCGGATGCTGTTTCTATTACATTATTGAATTTTTAAGTGATTTATGTAATTTAACAATATTTGAAGGGTTTATATATATATATAGTTTACCATTTAATTCCTGAAAAAAAGGAAAGAAATCTCATCGATCTCTTTTTAATTTCAAATTCCTATGATAATACGAGAAACAACCACCCCTGCGAATACAAATAAGCAATAATGGAAGATTGTGTAGAGTTAGGCAGTTTGCGAGGCCACATAAGATGCATAAGCAAAATAGCACTTGTGATACGGAGCTTTCCGTCAAACAACGGAAAGACAAATAGAAAAAAAGGAGGCAAAGATGGCTTTCTCTGCGAACTCTTTTTCATGCCAATTTAGTCCTTAGAGAATGACTCAAACAATTCATTGGAGGTACTTATTTAATTAATTAATAACGATTTGGATCTATAGTAAGCTAGATTTGCTGATGAAATGCAATAAAATTTAATGTAGAATATTGAAAAGAAAATCTTAACATCACCTTTTCTCTTTCTTATAACATTTTCTATTGGGCACTGACAAGCATATTTAAGTTCTATTCCTTTTCAGCATATATATAAAAAAGTTATGTTCCCTTCCAATTCATGAATTTTGTCAACCATTCTTATGCCCACGCTAGACTTATTTTTGTGCAATAAAAAAGAAAGTATAAATGTTATTCTAACTTCAAAACATTTTTTTTCCTTTAAAAATGACTTCAAATGGACAGCAAGATTTCTTATTTATTTACAAACTGCGACGAACATCACGATCTAAAATATTATAAAAAATATATAGATACAAATAAATAAACAACAACCAATTCAAACATACAGAATGATATGATTTAATAAAACAGAAACTCCACAATTGGAGTTAATTACAAGTCGACACATTGGTATGAATTTTGTAGTGAAGGGGATAAAAAATTTTGATCTATTGCCTATCAACACCCGTGTACAATTAACTTTCCCCATAGACCCACATCAATTTACACATGATAGCTTGTGAACATTACACGTAAATATTCGAAGACATGAATTTTTTCAATTTTTTTTCAAAAAATAAAAAATATTGACACGCGTACATGTTAAATCAAATTGCTTTAGGATAATGTTAGCTAATTTCCTTAACACGGTTAAGAGATAACAAGAATAGGATAAAAGCATTATAAATAAATAAATAATAGTAATAATAAAAAAGATAAACGGGGAAGATTGTGAAGGCTTTCTCTCTTTATTAACCATCATTTTCCATGACAACTACTCACAAACATATCTAAATTCATTTTTTAATTCATGCATCTGTAATACAAACACCCATGTATGAGAAATTCAATTTATTTTTTAAAAAAAATTATAGTATTTTATAAAATTAATCGAATATTATATTTACTTATCTTTTGAACTTTAAAAATTAAGAAAAACAAAAAATAACGTGAAATGATTTTAATTTTTTTAGGACTCCAAAAAAATTCAATAAAAGATTTTTATCTGGTAACTATTTATATAATAATTATATTTTAAAGATAAATGGTAAAAAACTGAAAGATAGATTAAATTAAAAAAATAGAAAAATCAAATACAAATTCTACTTTTTAGGAGTTTGTCCTTCTAGCCTTTCAAACTCATATTTCCTAACCTGCCTCAATTTTGATGAGTAGACACCACATGTCCAAATAGAATAATTCTTTCCTTACTTCAACCAAATCAACTTGTGAATAATTAAAACCTATAATTGATAAACAAATCCAAGAACCTCCAAAATTGTGAGTAGACACCACATGGATTCTGTTAATCAATTCACCATAAAAATTTGGTTATAGTTGATTTGAATGGTATTGAAATAAATAAAAAAATCGTGGGTATTGGGTAATGAAACTGGAAGCACGGTTGGACGCAAAGTTAGATTGGAAAAACATATGATATTTTTTTTAACATTTTCAATCATACGTTTAATTACACTTGATTTAAAAATAAGTCTGGAATAGAGGTTCAATTATGGTTATTCTTGTTGTTTTTCTCACCCATTTTTTTATTTATTTGGAATAAAAAATACTTTTAAACGCAAACAAAATAAAAAACAATAGTACAAATCTGCAACTTGAAACTTTCCACACTCATATTTCAAGACGCCCATCTCAATTTTGATAAGCAAAGACCGAATGTCCAAATTGAATTACTCTTTCATTACTTTAACAAATTCAACTTTTTCAAATTATTAAAATACAGAAAAACAGTGCATCACAGCGTTTTGACAAAGGACAAGTGGACAACCAATCCAAGAACACATAAACTCAACCTCTCTAGATCACAACTTCACCAGTCATTTTAATACACCCAATGTCCTTGCTCCAACCTGTAGGAAACCCAAAGGGGTAACACACCTCAATAATGGAGACTCTACTCCTGGCACAATCTTCACCGTTGATTCATCGAGAACGGACAAAATAAAGCAACTTTCTTTTTCTAGTTACATGCCACGTACCATGATGAGTAATGATGATGTTGCGGTGGATACACGAACAGTTCGCACGTGTACATGAAAACGTCAAAGGCGCCTATTGCCCGTCACACACGGGCAGCTGTTGTGGGCCCGACAGACATGGACCCTAGAAAGTAGAGCCAACACGATGTTGTGTCAAGGTGGGGCCCTTTTAACTTTGTTTTTTTCTCGCGGGGCCTGCATCTACTCAGCACCTAGTAGAACTTTATCGTTGTTTATTGGATTGTGGGACCTACGTATATGGTGGAAGAAAAGGACTTGTGTATTGCATGTGGTCCACGGTTTGTCTAGAGAAATCATAAGAAGTTCGCATAAAATGTCTTATAATCCAATCCTTCCAGAATAATGAAATTATGCATTGGCCTTGGAATTTTTTCAATTTTAAGTTTCGTCAGTTATGAAATTCTCGGATTAATTTTTATATAACGACCAAAACAAATTTTGTTATATATATTTACAAAAAAAAATTCTTCGTATTATAGTCTATTTTTAAATTCCTATAAATAATGACGGGGATAATAAATTAATAATTTATTATTCCAAATGAGATAATTTTCATAATTTAAAGTATTCATACTCAATGAATTTAATATGGATCAATTATGGACATAAAAAGTCATAAGCTACAACAATTCAACTTGTATGATTCCAATGATTCTTTGATAAAAAAAAAGAAGCATATTATTCATGTATTTAATATAAACAAAGTTTTGGTATGCATTATATATGCTTATATGTACGTACAACATGAAGCCATATTATTCATGATTTATACTAATGTGAATGATACATTTTATGTATTCCAACATAAAATTATTATAACCTAACAAGTCAATGATGCCAGATATTATAATCAATTTCATTGAATTAATGTCAACGACGTAAATATAATTGCATAAAACCGTGATCATTTTTCATAAAGACAATTATTGATTAAAATTTATAGCCAAACACTATCATGATTATAAAAAGAAAATCACATATAAAACTTCGTACTTTACCATATATTAACTACAAAAATAAACAAAAATCATATTTTTTTGACTTCAAAATTTATCTTTTATATTTAATTTAATATATTTTAGTTAACCAACAACATAATATATGTTATCAAACTGAAATAAATATATCTAGTTCAATCTGCATTGTAGCGCGAGAATCCGAACTATTCATGTATCTAAAATTCTTATTCACTTACTATTTATATGCATAAAATTACTATTTATTTGATGTCAATTTAAATAATTTTTATGTGTTTTTGAACATTAACATGCAAATTTAACACTTTTTTTTCTATTTTTCATCTCTCTTGTTATAATATTTTTTTTAATCCTTAGTTTTTGTTTTTTTTTTCATTTTTATGCACGAGCGCGCGCGCATACGCACACACACACACACATATAAACGTTTTCTTTTTATATTTTAAAATTAACATATACTTTAGCTTATATTACTCCTATCATTTAAATTTCATTATTTGAATTTATCATTTTTTATGAAAATTTTCATCCAATTAATATTTTATATAAGATTTTAGTTACCGATAAATATAATTTATTTTTCTCTATATTTAAATTTTAGAATAGACTTTTAAAACATGATTTTTTTTCTTTTTTAAAAAGTAAATTGTTATGATATATATCATGAATTTTTATCATTTTTAAATGATAGTCGCTCATATATAAATATATAATTATTTTATTCTAAAATGTTAAAAGCGTATTTAAAATAATTTGTCTCAATTCAACGAGTATGGTCAAGACATATAAAAAACTATTGAATCATTAATTTTATTAAAAATTAATTATACATCTTCCAACATAATACAAATTATTTACTATGAATATATTTTGTAACATTATAGAACAAATTTATTTGAAAAAAATAATTAAAAGAATTTTTTAAAGGAACCAACCAATTATTTAAATATAATTTGTATGCTAATTTTGTTTATTATTTTGTAAACAAATATATACAGATCTAATGCATATACATGAAAAAAAAAAAAAATCTTCTCAACCGACATTAAATAAGAATAAATTTTTATTTTTTCGTTGGTTAGTTTTTATGCAAGTCCGTAAATTAACCGTAACTTTATTTTTTTGATACATTCTTAAAACCAATATAATTTTAAAGTATTTGCCTTTTGAATTCTTAATTAATATTATAGGTTTAAATTATTACAAGTTTTTATTTAAGAAACCCTAAATAAAGAAGAATAAATCATGTTTGTGAAGCAAAAAATTTATGAAAACACACAAAAAAATTATAATAATTAAATAAAAAATTATAAAATTTTAAATGATTTTATTATATTTACTCGTAATGTTGTATGGATAATTTTTAAAATTAATCTTCTTATTAGCATTAAATAAGAATTTTTCTTTCATTTATTAATTTTTGTAAAAGTCCGTCCATTAATTATGATTTTATTTTTTTGAATATAATACTACAAAAATTATATTTTTATAGTTTTTAATTCTTAATTAATATTTTAGTTAAAATTATTAAATTTTTTATTTTAAAATCAATTCATAAAGAAGAATGATTTATATTTTTTTTAAGCAAATAATTATAAAAAAATTAAAAATTAATTAAATAAAAAATTATAATAAAAAATTAAAATTTTAAAATAATTTTTTTTTACTGCATTTCCAGTGTAGCGTTGATAAGCGACTAGTTTCCTCTATAATGAATATTTCTACTACACCTACTAGCTTTTGAGTTTGGAAAATGAATATATATTTCCTACAAATTTATCTGGAAGAAAAGAAATAAAGCTCCGTTAATGAATACCATAGAGTATAGGTACCGAATGCTAAAATAGAAAACAATGTGCATCATTATGATACCAAAAAGTAGCTTTCAAGAAAGATGCAAGCACTGTAACCAGCAGTGGCAGATTCAATACCATCGCATGGATTCAGGAAATCCGGCCGTTGGTTTGTGAAAAAATAAAATAAAATTACTTTACCATATATCAACTACAAAAATAAACAAGACATCTAGTTTATCCTAGTCCAATCAAAATTCACCTAGGTTGTAATAAAGTAATGAACCACGATAATACACTACTGCTGCATGTACTTGATCCCACCGAGTCCACTGTCTGTCTTTCTCTTTATAAACTGGCCAAATTGCCATTGTTTTCCCCTCCTCCAGCTGCTTAGAGCTTTTCTACATTGTTGCTTCTTCTCCTTTTCTTCTTCTAAAACTATTACTACCTTGTGGTTGCAAAGACTCCTGGGTTTCTTCTTTGAAGTTAGAAATCAATCATGTCTTATTACAGTGGTTGCATGGATTCCCACAAGCCTCACTTTCTTGAAGCTTGTTTTCTCTGCCGCAAACCCCTTGGTTGTAACTCCGACATCTTCATGTACAGGTTAGTTTTTACAATTCTATTTCCTTCTATCTAATGGGTTCGTGAAATTGTCAAGAAAAATGTTTAGACTGCTATAATTATCTTATATTCCCTGAACTGTTTGCGCTTGATATGCCCGTGTCATGCATGAACAGTTACAAGTTCTATTGTCTGTGCGACTTGGGTTCATTATCATTGTTCTTGTTTTGCTGATGGGGATGAAAACTTGTTATGCAGAGGGAACACACCATTTTGTAGCAAGGAGTGCAGGCAAGAACAAATAGAGATTGATGAATCTATTGATAAGAAGAGCTGGAAAATGTCATCTTCCTCCTCTAGATCTATCAGAAAATCAGATCCCAAGGATTCTACACCTAATAAGACTGTACGGACAGGCACAGTTGCTGTTGCTTGATAGTTGAACAGAAGACTTTGTATGAAAGCATATAAATCATGAGCAAATTAAAATTCCAATTTTGAGATTCAAGTACCGCATTAAAGAAAGCACAAAAAAGAGTGGAGCTTTTATATCGATCTTGATCGGTAAAGATGTGGTGGGTATGACTGCAATTTTGAAATAGAAGGAAACGTGAGTTGCAAGACCCACCATTGATTTTAGCTTTTGGTCTGGGTGAATGCTTACAAGAGTTAAGATTTGATATGGGATGATTTGTATAAGTTTGAAACAATCATTTCTCTTATCTTCTTTTTCCCATTTCCTTAAAAAAAATTCTTAAGGAAATTAATTAATGAATCTAAAAAGATTAATTTGGATGTTCATGTTTGTGTGTTTGGTTTGATTCTGTTATGTTAATGTATTGAACAAAGTTTTTTCGGATGCAAAATGCAAATTATATGTGCAACGTTATTATTAATTCATAAGTTTTCTCGAAATACAGGAAAGAATATAGCAATAATATATGATCAAGCAATTAATCAGTATTCTTTTGTTTTCCATAAACAGAATTTTTATTTTCTTAGCAATTAGTAAATACCTTTTTTCTCTTTCACGTAGAGTTTTTATTTGTTTCTTTATTTCGATGTTACTAATTTTTTTAAAATGAATTTATATGATTTTATTAATTGATCTCACAGAGAGATTATTTTCTTAAGAGTAATGAATTTTATTTTTCAAAAAATTGAATTTTTCTTATTAATTAAAGACGATGCAGTGAATACAACGAATTAATATAATATTTAATGTATTTTTGAAAATTATTTTATGTATTGTGATAGAAGTATAATATAATTCTCTTTAGGAGACGGAGTAAGTATTAGTTATTTTAGTAGTAGGAAGAGGTTGGCCAAAATAATTCCGTGGAAATTTTACATTAAAATTATAAGAATAATAATAATAATAATTGTTCCGTGGAACTTTTACGTTAAATAATAATAACAAAATAATAATAATAATAATATTTGTTCTTTTTATCGTAATTTCTTGTTCTTGGGGGTGTTATTAGGTGGCGATCCCAATGGCACGGTATCAGTTGACATAATTCCGATGTTTACGACTCAGTTTCTGAACCCAGAATTATGAGATGCAAATCTAAATGGCATGAAAAAAGCCAGGAACTGGCCGATTGTGTACTCTTTCCAATGTACTGTGTTGGAATCCGAGGACTGGATGCACTGGAATTTATTTCCTTAACACGTACGAGTTCTTTATTTTAGGCCATTATTTTGCTCCACAAAGAAAAGGGAAAAAAAAATTATCCTATCGTATTTATTCTCTACAAAGAAAAAAATAAAATCCTATCGTATTTATTTATCCGTTTTTGTGAAGCCCAGATTTTATTAAAAAAGGCAATTGATTCTAATTTGTTTGGTGTTGAAGCAACAAATAACAATTGCCAGTTCTAGAATTGCTGCTCTTTTCATTTGCCGGTTCGGTAAAGAGTACGTATTGGCATTCGCATTGAGAATCTCACTCTTTCGTGTGAAATCCAACAACATGAAAGAATGAATGTCCGCTTTAGTTGCAGGGATGACCAAAATTGTGCACAAAAGAGCTCCATTCTCGCTGTAGCACCAAATGAAGGACTGTGATACTAGGTAAATTGTTGGTGTTTTTGTGGAAACGCAAAAGCAGTAACTTTGTACAGAATTGGAAGGTACGGGAGGTCCCGCCGTGAAGCAAAAATTCGTTCCGATCTCTTAATAGATGGTTGGCCCAACTAAGGTACAAAGAAAATCATTTCACTTCATCATCCATCTGAAACAACATTGTTTTCTGGAGAAATGATTTTCTCGTAATCCAACCTTGAGGACCAGGTGATGATTGAATTTATCTCGTACCAAATTAATTATTTCGTGCAATATCGATCGTTGATAGGATGGATCCATTCGGTACCCTGCAATCACAATCACCGAGTGATTTATAATACTCATAAAAGTAATTTATGTTTTTTACACAATAAGATAATACTATAAAATCATATTTTGAAATCTCATTTAATAATTTAAAATTTTATATTAGAATGATTTGTTATTATTTATGATTTACACAATACAATTGCATTTCCACAGATATTACACATTGTTAACTATATTTCAACTAAAAAAGCACCTTCGTGTATTAAAAGAGAAAAAAAATACTATTTATTTTTTTAAAATAATGAATATGTTTAATAGATTGTGAATTTCGTAAATTTGGAGTCGTATCATATACCCTTATTGCATTGGTGAGGAGCTCAGCGGACGACCCAAGCCACCAAACTCAGGCCGTATTGGGATACCAGAAAACCTAACCTTGCTGCTCTGTAGCCCTAACAAGCCCAACAAAGGACCCCAGACAGATCCAATAAACTTAAACTTGTCAAACCCATTAGAGTCTAAAACGTTCAATTTTCTGTCCATAACTTGAAGCTATGTTTAACTTACCTCTTGCAAGATCCAAACTGCAGTCCAAAACTAAGCGCCATTTTCTGCACACAGACCAAAATCCCAGCTGAACCTCATCCTCCGGCGGCCACCGGATGTCTGCTAAAGCGGGCCATGTGGTGGGCAACTCCCTTAAGGTACGTTATTTTACCTCTTCTTTGTTTTCCCACCAAACACTTAATTCGCAAATGTCAACTCTTTTCACTCTTATTTCTCTCCCCAAAAACAAAAATTCTTTCTGTTCTAGTTCTTGTAATACCGGAGAGATTGATTATTTTGATCAGTTTTTGCCTCCTTGTGATAAAAAGATCGACTCTTTAAGCTTTTTGAATTCTAATGAGAAGAGGAAAGTAGTTGTTGGGCTGTCTAGAATCATTAAACAGGGCCAAGGTTACATCTTGAATGGATTTGCTAAAAACTTTTGCCCTTATTTTTTAGTTAAGACAATGAAGTCATTAGAATCTAGAGAAACTGCATTTGGCTTTTTTAAGTTTGCATTTCAAGATGATTCTGATGAAATAGTAAAGTCTTGTTGTGTTGCGGCACATGTTTTAGGTGCACAGAATCTCAGGTTCCTCGCTCAAGATGTGGTTTCTTGGGTTATTAGGAGAGTTGGGGTTGATAGGAGTAGGGAGGTAGTGGAATTTATGTGGAAAAGGCATGCTGAATTTGAGTCGGATTTCTCGGTTCTTGATACACTTATGCGTGGTTTTTTGAAAGTGGAAATGGGTTGTAAGGCATTGGAGATTGTGGGAAGGATGAGGGAGGTGGGCCTGAGGCCGAGTTCTTCAGCAATTACGATTCTTTTGAAGTTGTTGCTTAGAGTTGGAGATTACGGTAGTGTTTGGAAGTTGCTTAGGGGTATGATTCATCAAGGGCCTCAACCTAGTAATCATAACTTTAATGCGGTGATTCTTGGTTTTTGTAGAAAAGGATATGTTAAAGTTGGGCAAAGTTTGTTGTGCGTGATGCAGAAGTTTCAGTGTGAACCGGATGTTTATGCATATAACATTTTGATTCATGCATACTGTATGAGGGGGCAGACTGTAGATGCACTTGGTTGGATGCACTTCATGATAGATCATGGTTGTACCCCGAGCTTGGTTACTTTTGGTACAGTTATAAATGCATTTTGCAATCAGGGAAATATGGTGGACGCAAGGAAGCTTTTTGACGGGATAAAAGAGGTCGGTCACTTTCCCAATGTTGTATGCTATAATTCTTTGATGAATGGATATGTTAAGGCTAGGGACATTGGTCAGGCAAATATGCTTTATGAAGAAATGAAGAAGGAGGGTATAGCTCCTGACTGTACAACTTTTAATATTTTGGTTGCAGGGCATTGTAGATATGGGAGAGAGGAAGATGTTGACAGATTGCTGAGGGATTTGTCGTTATCAGGCTTGCTTCCAGCTAGTTCACTATACAATATTTATCTTTCAGGCTTGTGTTGGGCTGGTTGGTTGGATGAGGCCATGGAATTTTTAGAAGATATGCTTGAGAAAGGAATACCTCCAAGTGTAGTTGCTTTTAATTCAATAATAACAGCTTATAGCAGGGCTAGCTTAGAAGAGAAAGCCTATAAAGCATACAAAATGATGGGTAAATTTGGTTTATTTCCTTCATCTTTGACATGCAGTTCACTACTCATGGGTTTATCCAAGTTGAGGAGGCTGCAAGAAGCAAGGGAACTTTTGTACGAGATGATAGAAAAAGGCCTTCCCATCAACAGAGCGGCTTTTACTCTGCTTCTGGATGTGTACTTCAGGATAGGGGATGTGGCAGGTGCTTATAGCCTGTGGAATGAGATGGAAGGAAGGGGGATACATCCTGATGCTGTTGCCTTCTCAGCCTTTATTAATGGTCTTTCTATAGTAGGTCTAGTGGAGGAGGCATATGATGTATTTTTACAAATGTCAAAAAAAGGGTTTGTGCCTAACAATTTTGTATATAACTCTTTGATCCGTGGATTTTGCGACAGTGGGAGGCTGCAGGAAGCATTGATGTTGGAGAAGGAGATGGTGCAAAACGGTCTTCTTCCTGATAATTTTACCACCAATATAATCATCAATGGGCTCTGTAAAGAAGGCAGGATGAAGTTGGCAAGTGATGTGTTTAGAAACATGCACCATTTTGGTTTGATCCCTGATATTGTCACCTACAACACTTTGATTGATGGATACTGTAAAGTATTTGACAGAGTTAGTACGGATGAAGCTGTGAATAAAATGCATGCCACTGGATGGGACCCAGATATCACTACTTATAATATTCGTCTTCATGGATTATGCACTGGTCGAAAAATGAGTCGAGCTGTGATGATGCTGGAGGAGCTTATCTCAGCAGGTGTTGTTCCAGACACAGTAACATACAACACTGTATTGAATGGTGTTTGTACTGACATATTGGAGCGTGCCATGATTGTAACTGCTAAATTGCTTAAGATGGCGTTTGTTCCTAACGTCGTTACAACTAATCTACTATTGTCTCACTTTTGCAAGCAGGGAATGCCTGAGAAGACCATAATGTGGGGCCAGAAGTTGAGTGAGATCTCCTTTGATTTTGATGACATTTCCATAAAAATAATAGACAGAGCCTACCGTAACATCCAAGACGATATTGAGGTTCCAAAACCACCACCTGAAAAGAGCCTGTTTCTGGATTTCCTCATGTACGTTACATATGATTATTTGAGCAGAAATAGTCTTCACAAGAAGGAAAATCACGGTTCGCTTAAATGGATGGAAATTTGTTATGGCGGACCTTGAAAGCTGGCTGGATAGGTCTCCAGGACTCCAGTTTTTGTGACGTGCAAAAACCTCTTGTGAAAACAGAACCTTGGTAGGCCATGTTGAAGATTACCCAGCAGTCAAGTGGCAATGAATTTTTTAAGTACTATGCTTAAGGAGACAGGGTAATCTTCTTGGTTGATATGGTATTAGATAGGCTGCTTACTGCTCTTGGAATCATTTGGCTGAACTTGCAAGCAGTAGAAGGTGAGATAAAAGATGAATAGGGTATGACCACAAGAAAATGTGGGTTACCACGAGTCAATAGATCAGTTAGAGTGAGGTAAAGCAGAGCGGCATAAAAAATATATTATGCCATCCTCATTTCTGAGGAAAACTGTTCACAGAGTTGATTTCTGTTCTTGGTGTAGAATTTCTAGCTGATGCTGCATCATAAAGGGTGGGACGAACAGACTCATATATAGGCTTTGTTAATAATGAGAATTAAGCATGCACCCATTAGCACTGGGCCATAAAGGGAAATATAAAACCTTTGCGGATAAATGATCATGGCCTCTGAGTTCATTTTTTGGCATGCACCTGCTGGTATTATAGTGTACTTTCTTGTTCGAAGACTATCCTCGGAGGTAACGTGGGTTCTTACTTTCAATTTTTTTCTTCTTAAATGATTTTTATGATTGTCTCAGTGCTTTAGAGGGTATTAAGAGGGAAAAATTATGGTTGAGGTGGTACAAGTTGGTTGGGGATATACCTTCTAAGCATCTTAATTAAGGATACATGGAAGCCAATCCCAACTAGTTTAGACTTTAGGCTTACATGAGTGAGTTAAGTTGGTATGTATAAAGTTTGAATTGTTATGCATCTGTTATAATTTGTAGCTTTGCCACATGGCGAAGCTCACTGTAGTATTTGTATCTTGTGTTAATAATTCCAGGTTTGTGAGCAGCACATTTTCCTAATATTCACTCTGAGAAATAGATTTAAATTTGCTTCAAATCTGACTTTTTCTCGTTGAAACAAGTATTGGAGCTTTTGGGTGGATGTTTAAGAAGAGCTTTCCCGCCATTGAGCCAAATTCAGTTGTCAGCTTAGATTGAATCTATTTCAATTTTCTAAAATCGGAAACAACAAAACCTTTAACATAGAGCAGTTCCAGATTCTTAAAAACAAAACCTTTAACATAAAGAAGTTCCATCTTTGCATTCTATCTTTATCAGCAGTCTTAGTGTTTAACCTCTGCCACAACATTAGAACTTTTTACGTCTGTTTTTGGGGAGATGCAGTGCATACTGCTGATATTTCCTTTTCAAGAATGAGCAGACAGTTATATGGGTTACGTCGTTGGGGATATCTACTTGTGGTCTATTCTTGCTGCTTTAGTTAGAAGAAGGAACCATGACCAATACAGATTTTTGCACGGTTGTGCACGATTCTCCTAAACCTGAGCTGGCAGTTCCAGAACTTTTAACTGTGTACAGCCAAGCTCAAAAATCAATCATATGATGAGAAAAAAAGGGAACGGAGGGCACCAGTGGTTATTGTTTTTACTTTTCTAAATTTGTGGTTAAGATGATGACCAACTGCATCATTTTGTTGCTGTTCACAGATGGCTTCTGACGTTTGGATGCATCCTTCATAAGGCTTTCAGCTTTTTATGGTTTTGCCGTTGCTACATCTCAATGCAAGATAGTAAGGTGTAGCTGCATGTCTTCTTCACCACGCCCTCGCTCTGTTCTCCGGTTGTCTCCATTCTTCTGTATTGAACTCTGTATTATTGAGTTTGTGGGAAGGAAGATTACTTTTGCCTACTAGAGCAGAGGACAGCAAACCAAGAGAAATTTGTACTTGCATATGTTATGCATGCCGCCAATGTTCATCCTGACCCCAGAAACAGCCCAGATACATTTGTGAAAAAATCAAATGAATGAGAGAGATAATGAATTTTGAACCATTAAGGAAAAGAAAGAGAGAATAAGATAAACAATTATCGATAAATCCAATCTCTTCACACTGAACCACCTTCATTCGAACTACTGCAGTGGGATCGATCTCCTAACTGGCTCAGCAATAGGCAATCTGCACAGGGAAGGAAGAACAACCGTTTCACTTCGAACATAAGTGTTCCATGGACCAAGATCTGCTTTTATTATATGGGCAATATTGATCTACTTTGGACTACGACACAATGCTTGGGATTCAAAGTAAATGACTCAACAGTTTCCGGATAGACCATGGCACTGAGGATCAGAAACACAAGATAGTTCAACTTTGTTCGTCTAAAGATGATGCTTGCGGCTGTAGAAGTTTTGAATTCGCAGTGATAGTTTCTATCCACGCATGGGGTGATTTTTGGATTGAAGAAATGGGTGTGGCAGCCTCATAAATAACAAGTTGATATTAAGAGATTATCGGAGGCTTGGAGCTTTTCACTCCAGTAGAAACATTCGAATGACTTGCAAGAAGGATATGAAAGACAAAGGCTAAAATCTGGCATGTGCGTCTTGAAGGCTTCTCCTCCCGTTGCCGAGGTTTAGGCATTCAAGTTGAAGAGACAAAAACTAATATGGTGTTTAATAGCAGCTATTATCAAAACACACACAACAAAGAAAAGAAAGAAAAAAAAACCACTAACTAGATTTTTTTTGGAGTCAAATAAATTGAAGCGATTTAAATTCATTTTTCTTTTTCCCGTCTGCTTCATTTCTTTGGTACTTCATAAGCTTTTGTGCTAGTAGTCTGCTATTCAAACCATGCAAGAAGAAAAAGACTATTCTTCCAGACGATTAGCTTGTACACAGAAAAGGCCAGCCTCTCCAATTAGAACAAACATAAGATATACTGGCATCGCCATATTTAGAAACCAGCTATTCTTTTCCACATAAAAGGTTCTCTTGCAAGGTTCTTAACCAGTTAATCTAGTTAGCTAGGAATGAATCATTAGAACATACCAATGAACCAATATGCAATTGCCAGCAACCTTTTCAGGGTACTTTGGCCCGCTGCATGATCTCAAATCTTCTTCTACTCGCACCTTCGACGTGCTCGCTGAGTTTTGCCAGGTGGGCCATTCGCCGTTTCCAAGACTCGGAGGCCTCTACACGATCTGGTTTCTTACTTGAGTCAATCAGGTCATTTTCAGTGGCTTCAAAACTCTTCTTTGAAGGGCTTCCTTCTTCTGAATCTTGGATTATCTGTTTCAAGGTCTCTGCCACCTGATTCATCTTTGGTCGATCTTTTGCGCTCTTTAACAAGCAACTGTCTGCTAACTTGGCAATTCTTCGAGCTGCACTCGTAGAATACTGGTTATCGAGTCGTGGATCCATTATCAAACCAAACTTTTTACCATCAGCAGGGAAATGCTTTACCCATTCTAATAACTTCTGCTCCACTCTTGGCCGGTTTCTTTCGAATGATCGCCTGCCCGTAAGAATCTCATACAGTACCACACCGAAGCTCCATACGTCACTTCTGGTTGTGAGATGCCCTGTCTCAATGTAATCTGGTGCAGCATATCCATATGTCCCAACTACCTGACAGCATAAATAAAAAAGAACCCCGTGAGAAAAATGCAGTCGGCATTTAATGCAAATGTTCATGATACTTACTGCTGTCGAGACATGCGAACGTCCAGCCACTGGTCCCTCCCTAGCAAGCCCAAAGTCTGAAAGCTTTGGCTTCAAATCTTCATCTAGTAATACGTTGGAAGTTTTGAAATCTCGATATATAACCTAAAATAGCAATTTCAAAACGGAAATAGAAAAAGGCAAACATCAGAAGCAGCATAAACTAAAATCCTGCACATAACATATTTTCATTGCATGCCAAGTAAAATCGCACTCTGGTGCTTATTAAGCATGTTTCAGAAGAGTACCTGAACTTCCAACCCTTCGTGTAGATAAGCTAATCCTTGAGCTGCTCCAAGTATTATTTGTAATCTTGTCTTCCAGGAGAGTACAGGATATGCCTTACTGAAAAGATGATCTTCTAAACTTTTATTTGGCATAAACTCATACACAAGGAGTCTCTCGATCCCTCTTTCACCATCTACAGCACAGTATCCTAAGAGTTTGACAAGATTTGGATGCTCCAGAACCCCAAGAAATTGAACTTCTGTCACCCATTGTTTATGACCCTACAAGAGAACAGAAAAGGTGCAGAAGCAGTAACCGCTTAAAAGGACGAACTTACAAAAGATGATATACTTTCTTCCTTAATTACCAGAACATGAAGGTGAGTTTTAAAACTGAAGATGGACTTGTCACTAATACTCCATCCAATTGCATAGATATATATTCAATCTCAACAACCAAACAAAGCAATCTCATTCAAACTCCCAGGCTTAAAAGTCATACCTGTAAACCATCTGGGTTAAGCTTCTTAATTGCAACAACAATAGGGTCACCTTTTCCATCAGCAGGTTTGATTGAACCTTTATAGACACTACCAAATCCACCTTCCCCAATCTTGAACAGCCTACTGAAATTATTAGTTGCGTTTTTGAGCTCTGAGAGAGAAAAGACTCTCAGGTTATGAGCCTTCTCTTCATACATTTCTGGTATACCTCTCTGTGAAGTTTCTGAGCATGAAGACTTAACCACCCTATCAGTAACACCTGAAGAATCATCAGTCTTTGTTGTACTTTGCTGTTTCAACTCTGGTGCTGATCTTTGTCCCCTGCTTCTTGATTTGTCCTTGAAGTAGTTCTGAAAACACTTCATTTTTTACAAAGTTGAATGAATACTACTAATAGCAGCAACTTTCTTGATTCAGATGTCGAAAACTTTTGGCTACCTTCAAAAACTGATCTTGAAAGCAAAAGGAACTAAATTGACCCAAACAAGAGAGAGGGTATCAGCAAAGCTCCAAACTTTAGGATATCAATATGATATCTGAGAGAGATTCAGTAAATCCAGACAACCAAGAAAAAGATTCACAACAACAAATGAAAACACACAAAAAATAATTTAAACTGAGATAACCCAGATAAGAAACAAGAAAACATGGGGAGAGAGAATGAA